TTTCTATTTATGCTCAAAATTCATGATAGATAGAATTTTGAAAAATTTTAGTTGTTGTCATGTGATGATAGTTGCTTATCTAGAATATATGCTAGAAATATAATGCTGAAATTCTTTGTTGTTGTTGCTCCTGTTCAAGTAAATGCTGGAATTAGTTTCAATACTGGATAATATGTTGGCATTAGGGATCCGTTTATGCTTATTCGTTCACTGTTACCTGTTACTATTTGAAACATATGTTGGGCGTAATATTTTGAGACACAAAACATCATGAGATTTGACTATGATGGCTGGAAGTGTTGTCTTTCTGTTTTCTCCATTTGTTGGGCACGGTTTTGGCTTAAATCGTATTCTTTTCTTTAACCTTTATTTTGGGCTTGATTTGGTCTGAGGTCTGAACTCAGTTTGGCTCGAAGGTTTATCTGTTGTTGGCCCCTTTTTGTGGGTTTAGTTGAGCTAAAATTGTGATTTTTTTTTCCATCTACTAAACTCGATTTTGACTGGAACTCTATTTATGTTGCCCCTTTGCTGCAGTCGATTTGTCTGTCATGGTTCTTCCTGTTGTCCCTCCTGCTGGGCTCGGTTTACCTGTCACTGCTCTTTCTGTTGCCCCTTTGCTGGGCTCGGTTTACCTGTCATGGTCTTCTGTTTTGCCCTTCTTGCTAGACTCGATTTGCCCAAACTGTCATTTTTTTTGTTTGTCCCTCTTGTTGGGCTCGGTTTGATCGGAGGTTCTCCGGATAATGTTCCTCCTGAGATTGTTGTTGATAATCAAGTTTGTCATGCCAAAAAAAAATTATGACCTTCATATGTACTTCCATGCGGGAATGATTGATATAAGTAGACCAACTCACTATCACGACTTGCTTGATGAAAATGGTTTCAGTTCAGATGATTGATAAAAACTTGTCCATTCACTCTCTTATGTATATCAAAAGAGCACAATTGCAATATCTGTGGTGGCCTTCTCATTGGCCACCCCTATTCGAATACATGTTATGATCCATTAGCTTAAGGATTGGTTTTGACTCCTTGTATTTAATGATTGACTACCCGTGAGCTTACATTGGGGCTTAGTTGTGCTTTTTCTTGCCCCTACCCGTGAGCTTCTGTTCTCTTTCCAGTCCCAAACCGTGAGATTGTATTAGGGCTTGGTTGTACTTTTTCTGGCCTATACCCGTGGGCTTATTTTGTGGTTTAGTTTTGCCCTTTCTTGGCCCTACCCGTGAGCATAAATATGTAGTGGTCTTCTTCTTGTTGCCCCTACCCGTGAGCCTTACTTCATGATTTCTCTATGAGAACAGTTAGTGGTGGTCTTTTTTTTGTTGCCTTAGTCGTGAGCCTTATCTTGTGAGTTCTCTATGTGATAAGTTGGGCTGGTGGTTGTCCCCTCTGTTACCTCTGGTCTGTCGCCCCTGACCGTGAGCATTTATATGATTTTATCTGGATGATTTCATGTTTATGTTGGAATTGAATGGTTTTGATATTGACATGATTTTTGGAAGTTAGAAGGTTGCCCTCTATGGATTATTTTCCTTTATTTTGTGAAATATGAAAGACTCTTAAAACTTCATTTTGAGGAAGCATAAGATTGATATGAACCGGATTCATGAAGGATTTGAAAGCTCATAAAATTGTCATTCACGAAAGAGTTTTTTCTTTTTTTTTTCAAAGTTTGACATTAAGGTTTGGATAATATAAATGTCACATTTGAGTTCAGGCTTGGGTGTGTGATTATGTAAGTGATGGTGGAGCCATGTATACAATTGTCACATTGATTCGGATCCGTTTCGACCTGTTCGAAATAAGATTTGGAAAGGATATCCTTCTTGGGTTGATCCATTTATAAAATTTGAGAAAATAATATCCTTCTTGGATTGATTCAAGGATCTTGGGCCCTCCTTTTTAGATCTTTTCGTTACAAGTTTTGAGGGTTGATTCACCCTTCATCTTTTCCATCTTTTGGGTGAATCAGTTCCTCCTCTCTCATCCCCATTTTTATTTTTTTATTTTTCCTTGCTTCTTGGTTCGATTTTCGGTGCTTATGTCTGACACATAAGTGTCCATATATAGTATTTTGCTATATATGAAACCATCAAGCAAGGTCGCAAGTAGGTCGGTTTTGTTTTGGGGCTTAGAGCGGTGATGACAAAGGCATGACTGTGGTAGAGCGGAATGATATTTCATCCTACGACATCAGAACCCAATCCTGGGACCTGATAAACTGTAGGATGATAATATCATTTCATTCACCAAATTCACCAACACGAGACTAGCGGGGGACCCGTACCTTCTTAGGTTGTTGGCGGTCCTGCCTCCGATGGCGTGATCGACTCGTGGACATTCCTAACTTTTCAAAATTGATAAGAACATATACAATATTTATAAAAAATATTTTTACTACAAAATTGATACAACTTCCTTTTGTATGCCTGAAATCAATGTGCATGCTAAAATATAATTTTTAAATATATTGTAACTTGATTGTCCACTTGTTGATTACCAGTACCGGGCTAAGGAGTACCCTCCTAAGTTAGGTTTAGTAGGACACCCTTCTAGTTGAGTGACGGGCTCTATACATCAAGGTGACCGATAGTAGCCTTCGACATCCCTCGAGTACAAATATATAATATCTGAATATCTGTACAAATATATAATATCTGAGCCTAGCCCTGACCCGAGTGCTTGCGGTTTTCTTTCTTCGGATTTTTCATGGGATTTTATTGGAACTTTTGGTAAAACACTCGTGGTCTTTTTTCGGAATCTTCCCGAGTTCTCAGTGACTTTCCTTGAGTTACCATTTACTATTTTTTGCTTCGAGATTTCCGTCGTAAGTCATTTGTCAATTTTCTCGAGTTTTCTTCCATCATGGGTCATTTATCGCTCTTTCTTGAGTTTTTCAAATGGTATTTCTTTTGTTGATACAATGCATGCTAGCTCATTTCTTAAATTATGTCATTATACTTGTACCTGCTATTGTTTATCTTACACACTACACCTTAGAGTAGGAGGCCAGTAGTTGATTTCATAAGAGGTACTCGGCAGCAGATCGTTGACTAAACAATTGCATATACACTTAAAATTAATGTCAAATCCGAAGGTGTTACGACGGGGAGCTTGGAACGAACACCATGGGCAACATGACAAAGACACGCAGGAAAGCAACTTCGAGATGGATTTGTAATAGTACAACAAGTTCACATCAGCTTAGCATTTTTTTTAGTTTAAATAACAAGTCATAGGACTTCGAGTTAGTTTGCTTAGCGCAATGTAAATTCTTACCTTATCTTTAGGACTTTTGCACAACCCTGTTATGCAATTATAAGTTCTAACACTTTTAGGATTCTGAGATTACCACCCGGTACGGTGTAAAATCTTTTTATCTTTTTAGGTCATTTGTACGATCAGATATCGTGCGAATGTAAATCTTAAATTCTAAAAAGAAGTTGCAAGATTAAACATTGAATAATATTATTTCAAAGACATAAAGTCAAATAATAGGATAGTTGCGAGGTCACCGGGGTTCTCCCTGGACCTGTGATATCCCATACTCTTCATTCATTTGGATTCCTTAAAATAAATGTTCCTGTTTGAGTCACTCCCGTTTGATTTTCCCGTGTCCAATCTTGGAAACATAAACTTTGAAATCTGGAAAGTAAAATCACTTATCTTAATCGAGAGTCTTCTTAAGTGACCCGACCATTTAAGATGTAATTAACTATGGGGGTTTGCCTCTATAGAAAACTTGAAACTCAGGTAAAATAAACATTATCTAATCACCCTATTTAATCCTTTATATTATAAGGGAACTTGTCGGCCATACATAAAAGGTTTTGCAAACCAAATGGATGTCACAAATTTCTTAGTTTAGGTGGTTGAGTTTACTGTTAAGTGGTATGCTTATCCTTCAGGATAGTGTATTACTTGTGGTATCGCGCTCAACCATCCAAACTATTTAATATGTTAGACTCGTTTGGGCTCATCTATTTTTAAATTAAAATGTTACTTTTAAAAATCATATTTAAATCAAAACTATTTTTTATATTTTACAAAAAACATCCTTTCCAAAAAAAAATAACGGCCGACAAGTGATTCACAAGGATGGTAAGAGAAGAATCTGAACATAAAAATTTTTGCTCAAAGGAGAAAGTGATTATATGAATGAATGGGAAGACGATGACTAATGAATTTTTCTAGTTTGTTTTATGAGACTTGAAATTTTATTAGTTTAGTAATGCATTAAAACGTAGTCTTTATTATGAATCATAGGAAATTATTATAATTTAGAACTTGCAGGTTCACGCTAGAAATTTTATTTTTAAATCAGGTATGAGTATCATATTTGTTTTCTATGATCAAGTTTTAAGTTATATAATAAATACTGCATGTTCAATAATTGTTAATGAATGTAGCGTCATATTTATAATTCTATATTAAGTTATCAGTGTTTTAATTAATAAAAGCACCACTTCACTTCGCTCTTTGTGCTTTGAAACAAAAAATAAATCTTGCACATCACATTATGCTTTGTGCTTTAAAATATTGAAAAACTGTACAATGAGTTAGCTATCAACTCATATCATACGATATTTTATAATCATGTTAAAAACCTAAAAATTGTTCTGACAATAAAATCATAATGTCTACGCTCAGTTTTACCACAGAAAAGCAAGCAACAATAGCATATATGCTGGGATACTATCACTACATAGGTGAAAAAGGAACATTAAACTTGACTAATTAAGCTATCTATAATGATACCTACTATGAATTAAGCGATGCTGACCACTTAGTTTAACAAAACCCAGAGATTTCACTAAACAACTTATGTCAGTGCAGATCTAAAAATAAAGGTCTGTAATGCTAGACAGGAATGAAAACATATTAGTAACAACAAAGATAGGATTTATACATGCAAATTTTATACAATATTTATCTTTATATATTTAGATGTTCGAGTGAGAATGTATGTAAGAAAAAAGAAGAGTGATGTAGCACACCTATCATTTCTTAGAGATATCAAACTTGCAACAACTTCAGTTGAGAGAGCATAGATGGGACCATATGCATGCAAAAAGTACTCACTCCCTAGCAAATGAGATAGAGGCTCATACCTGGAAAGATTCAAAGTAAATTTACTTGTTAACACATACAGTGGGCCATAGTAATGTAAAGCAGAATAGTGTATCAATATCAGAAAATAGAAAAAATGCTCCTAAACTAAGATGCCAATATTTTCAGATGGAATAGAAGGTTAAAATCTCTAGATTTGATACATATCCACAAGAGATAGCGCATCAAGTTTTTCCTAGTAGATCTATTTATTAGGGATTTGAAGTCTTAAGCATTCCATTTCACATAAATTAATACACCATAAATTATGTAAAGTAGACAAGCTATATCTAATAAACATCATGTAAAGAAATTTGCAGACAAAATACGAGTTATAGGATTACATAAGAATATATTTCATTTACCAGTACTGAAAGGTTCATTGAATCGTTAGAAAACAAGGCAGTAGTAAAAGCTTTCTAGATAATATGAATTATATGATAGGCAATTACAAGAGGTTATATGGGTTGGTACTCATATGGCTGCAATAGTATTTTAGATGCATTAGGCTTAATAAATAACAAAACGAGTCAGTGGAATCCTTTCATGACTTCTTCATTAGAATTATGGCATCAAAAGAAATGACCTAATCCCCCTTGGCTGAGATTCTTCTTCTTTCCCTTCTTTAATAGCCCATTTTTTAGGAGTTTATGGAGAGCATCAATCAGCCTCGATCTTTGTGGGACTGTGCTCATTGAGAGAGAGATAAATAGAGATTCAAGTTCGCCATAAAATCCTTTAAATGGGAAATTGAGAAGGAGAATGAAGATAAATCTCAGCAAGAGATTAGTTCATTTAATTTGATGCCCTAATACTTCCAATAAGAAATTATCTAAAAACTTTATAATGGCTCATTTAGCTATCTATTAAACCCAATACAACTCAAACTATCCACTTCGAGTATTTTATTATTAACCTATATAACACTTATAATTACCTATATTATTTATAATTACACAAAATACCATACTTCTTAGACATGAATTAGTTAATAATGCATGGCCACAAGGAAACAGAAAATAACTCTAAAGAACTATACAGCTAATACTAACCACTTAAGTTTTGGATCAGTGAATACTGGGCCCTTCTTCATGCATCCAAGATAAGTCTGTGGGTTTGGGCGTTCTTTTGCCAGAAGCAATGAAAGGCGATCTGGAAAAGAATATTTAAAAACCCTAAGAGAAGTAGGAAGACTGAAAAATGACAAAGAAAAATCATTGCACGAAGATAAATCACCTGGCCTTAGGTATATGTCATCATCAGCTTTAACATAGAAGTCAGCATCAAATAATGCATAAGCAGCTTTGAAGAAGGCTAGCCTATAGAAAGAGACTAAATCAGGTTTGAAAAACTTCGTTGGCAAATAATTCAAGAATACTACAGACTAACAGAAAATATAGCACATTTCCCACGTTTTATATGGGAGTTTGCTGTATTCCTCCTCAATGTCTAATAGCAAGAAGTCGTCATATACTTTAACTTCTCTTTTTAGCTCAGCTGTCTTCTTTTTATCCTTAGTCTTGCCAATCACAAATCGAAAAGCCAAACCAGTTGATTCTTCTAAACTGCAAAAGCAGAATGTGCATAACGCAAAACTTTCAAAAAATCCATTTTTAAAGGAAATAAAAAAATATATATAAGTATAAATTTCTGGATTTGCCATTTCCAGAGAAAAGGAAAAAAAAAAAACTAGCAAAGATTGCAAGGACAGAGAAACTCCATAGCGAAGATGTTCCTGAAAACATAAATGTAATGTAGAAAATTAAGAATATACAATGAGTAAAGATAAAAAGTATAGTATTGACAACTGTGACTGCAACAGTAGCAGGCATTTATAGGGTACATTTGGTGTCTTTTCTGTTACAGGAAATCTGAGGACGTTATGGATGAGTGGCTGAGATATATTGGAGTGTGCTGGTGGATGCTGAGGTATGCCTATGGTTATATGGTCTTTAACGTATCGCAAGCAGATAATCCTTCATATCTGAGTATAGAAAATCTAGCAAAGGAGAGCTCTTTGGTAAAGAGAACAGCCAATTGATCAGCATGTGAGCTGTTATAATGGATGAGGATGGTTTGCTCTTAGATACATTTGCGGATGAAGTAGTGATCAATTTCGATGTGCTAGATATGGGCATGAAATATATGTTTGTTGGCGAGCGTGATTGCAGAGATGTTGTCACTATATAATGGAGTTGCGGTATTGGAGAATGCTAGGTCACAAAAAAGACGATGAAACCAGATTATTTCAGTGGCAGCAGAGGTAAGTGTCCTATATCCAACTTCAGTTGTCACAGAAGTTTATTTATTGGCACTCCAAGAGACAAGACTTTCAGCAAGAAAGATGCGATATCCCATTATTGACTTGCAATCTGTAGAATTCCATGCTCAATCCGAGTCGGTGAAGGCTTGAAGGCTGAAAGAGGCACGATTGATAGAAATTCTGACTGTTAGGATTCCCTTTATGAACACAAAGTGCATTTTAGAAGTTGGAAGTAGTGGTTTGAGAGATTTTGCATAAATTAACAAAGGCGATTGGTGGCAAAGACAAAGTCAAGTTTTGTGATGTTATAATACTATAGAGATCTTGTGAGTTGTCTGTAGAGTTGAGGTTGGGGAAAGGGATCATCCATATTGGGAGGTGGTTTCCCAAAGTGGAAATGGGGTAGGACTTCATTTGCAATCCTGCATATCGGCTTTTTCCCCCCACACACGCACAAATGTGCGCACACCGCATACGCCAGGCCTTGAACCCAAAACCACTTGATTAAAAGACAAAGCTCTCAACCACTAGATCAAGGTGACTTCAATATCTTGCATGTCTGCTTTGATAAGTATTTCATGAGCACATTTGATTTGGCAAAAATACGTGTCAGTGACAGTTGGGGGTGACTTACAAGGCCAGAAAATGTGATAATGGCCCAAGGTCCTAGAGGGGAAATTGTTGTTGCCGTTTGCTAAGTATGTTTTCTCGTGTTGTAGTGTCATTTACTATAAAGAGTATATCATCTACATAGAGAAGTTGTTGATAGATACATAGAAAGAAGTTTGTTGCATTGGAACGAAAGCCAAGTTACATGAGATGATTAGTGGAAGTAGTGAACCACTGTCTGGGAGCCTATCTTAGACCACAAAGCCTTTCTGATGAGGCAGATGTGATCAGGAACTGGGACTCCACAGAACCCTGGGGAGCTACTTCATGTAGACTGTTTATGTGAGTTCTCCATGGAGGAAGGCATTTGAACCGTCTGATTGACAAATATAACACTGGCGGGTTACAAAAAATTTAAGAAGAATATGAATTGTGAGGAACTTTGCCACCAGGCTAAATGTTTCCATATTGTCCGGATCATGCTCTTACCTGAAGCCTTGAGCAAAAAGCCTGGATTTGTATCTGGCTATAGTCTAGTTGTTGTGGATTTTAGTTCCATTTGCAGCCTAGCAAATTGTAGTGTGGAGAGAATGGGACAAGCTCACAGGCCGCTTGAGCTTGTAAGGTTTGGAATTCAAGTGAAATTGCTTTTCTCCAGTGTGAGGTTTGACAGCTTCTGTGAAGATGCTAAGATGAGATGGGAAAATGGTATGTGCAAGATCAAATTATTTCTTTAATCAAGTAATGCAATTTTTAAGTCGGGTTTGCATTGAGTGATGATTGGATGTGGGAGGTGGCATTTGAGTGGGGAGTATCAGTTGGATGAAAGGTTGTGCAGGGAGTTGAGGCGCGGGGGGTGGAGGCGCCGCAGCTGATTGGGTTGAAGTTGAATGATATGTTTTGGTGAAGAGGTGGAAAACAAGGGCTAATATAAGTGGTGTTTTGGTGAAGAGGTGAAAAACAATGACTAATATAAGTGGTGGGGGAGAATGACAATGTGTAGTGGATGAAGGTGAGGGTGAGTTCTGAAAATATCTTCAGAAAATATAACATGATGAGAGAGATATATATTGATGGGGCAAGACAATGATAGTCTTTTTGAGATGTAGCATAGCCTAAGAAAACATAGGTAATAGACATTGGAGTGTTGGGTTAATAGGGGCGTAACCAAAAAAAAGTAATGGCATCCAAAGATTTAAGCTGATGATAGTTAAAGTCCCTTGTTGTATAATGTTTTATAGGGGGGATCATTTTGATGATGGGAGCTGGTAGACGGTTGATAAGGTAGTTGGTTGTGAGAAAGGCATAGTCCGAAATTGTCATGGTAGAGAGGATTCTAATAAAAGTAAGTGAGTTGCTTCGAGGAGATGTCAATGTTTACAGTCAGCTGAATCATATTGCTCAAGGGTGTAAGCACAAGTGCACAAATATATAATGTAAAATTGCTTTAATGTTGTGAAGAAATTATTTTTAAACATTCTCCTTCTTCATCAATTCCAAGTATTTTGATGCTAGCATTGTATTACATTTTAGCCATGCTTTTAAACTCAACAAATTTTGAGAAGGGTCAGATTTGTACAACATCGAATATAACGCCTAATTTTTGCATAATCATCAAGAATAAAACACAACATCTATAGCCATTAGTAGAGAAAGTGCGGAAAAGAGTACATACATCAATGTGAACTAACTGTAAAGGTGAGCTAGTACAATATTGTGATCTAATACAAGATCGTGATCAAATAAATGATAAACAAGTACTTTTGAAAAGATGACAGGTAGTGCAGGTAGTCTGCTGGACTTGACGCTGAAGAATAGGATGCAATTTTGCAATGCTGGAGTTAAGGGTTGCATGAGAATGGCCTAAAATTCGATGCCATAGAGCTGTTACAAATTTGATGGAGAATAGCGCTAGATACAGAGAGAAATTGTCAGAGATAGTAGAATCTTTAATAGAGCAGAGGCCTTTAAGGCAAGAACATTTGAAAAGAAGTTGTCCAATCTTCTTGTCCAATATCTTGTAGGTATTGGAATCAAAGAGAGCAATACATGAATTATCAACAGTGAGTTTATTAACAGAAATCAAATTGTGTGATAGGTTGGAACATAGAGAAGTTGATTTAATGTTAACTTAGTGGTTGGAGTATTTAGGAGGCCTTGAGTTGTATGAGAGATGGGTATGGTCTGGTCATTGCCTATGGAGACTTAATGATTGCATTGATTGGTGGGATTCTGGGATTCTGAAGATGATGAGCGTCAGAGGTTAAGTTTGAGATAGCTCCCAATTCCAAAATCCATTTGATAGAGGGATTGATCTGTTGAGTCGTGTTCGAGCAATAAGATCTTATGGTTTGAATGGCACCCAATGAAGCTAAGATCTTGGTAATGCCAACAGTTAGCTGTGGTGTGACCTTTCTGCATCAGATTTGGTGGGCTAGAACCGTAGTGGAAGTGATTTCACCTCTTGATGATGTTTATGTTAGATCAATGCTTATGGTACCATCTATCTCGAGCTCCACGAAATCAATATAGAGCCCGCCAAAATAATTTAAAGCCTTAAATTAGGCGTAAGACAAAAAATAATTTAGTCATTTGTTAGTAATTATTTTTGGGTATAAATCGGGCTTAATATGTTTATGGTTAGGTTATATGATGTGTTTGACTGTTGTCTTGAATCTAGGGTTATGGTTTGAAAGAGATCACCTACCTCTCTAATTGTGGTTCTTTATCTTTTATGTATTTGTTTTGTGTTGTTTTGTGTTTGTGAAGTAAAATATTATGATTGCCCTAATTTCTGTGGGAGTTGTGTCGTTCTTATCAAATTTGTATCAGAGCATGAAAAGACGAGATTGCGGCGCTCCATTGTGCGCTCCATTGTGATTGAATCTTGCAATCCATTCCTGATTCAAGTGTTGGGAAGCCAGCGATGAGATCACAATCTCTCTGGGAAGCCGGCGAGATCGCGACATATAGGGCATCTCCTTTGCATGATCGTTGTCAATTGTCGTGACCAAACCTCGCGATACAGTAGTCGAGTTGGGAAGCCTACGACGGAATCGTGGAGTACAAAACCTATTGTCATGACTGAACCTCGCGATACAATCACAATTAGAGCAAGCTGGGAAGACTACGACAGGATCGCGACATTGTTGTAACTGAACCTCGTAATACAATTGTGATTCGAGCTAGATAGGAAGTCAAAGATGGGATCACGATACATTCCTGATCAAAGGCATCGCCTTAGTGATCGAACCTCACAATACAGTTCGGATTCGAGCGAGTTGAGAAGCCAACGACGGGATCACGATGTAAAGGAGTTCTGTCTTTATGATCGAAAACCTTTATGGAAGTAACGACGGCCAAAAAAATAGATGCCTTGGAGGAAAAATTAGAGGGAGACTTAGGCAATATCATATATGGAATAGAGGAGTCTTTCTCGGACATGAAGGGATTGTTCTCATCCATGGAAGGGAGATTCATGTCCCTGGAAGTAATAATGAAAAATATCATGATTTTCCTATTGCGAGATCGAGCCATAGCTTTTGAGACAAACGCGAGCGACAACAACCAGAAGGATTCGCATAACATAAAGGCATATTGTTGTTTTAGGCAGATATGGAGCCGCAAGATCGAGCGAAGCTATCGGGAGCAAACTTGAGTGGTAGCACTCCAAACCGTTGAAACGGACCAAAGCGGGCGAGATCGAGCAAAAAAGTCGAGAGCGGATTCGAGCGACGGCAGTTAGTGGGAATTGCATGACATCTGCAAGTTTGGAATGAATAGCACAGTAGGCAGAACGGAACGGAGTATGATACATGGATGGAGAAGATTAATTTGAAGGATTTCAAATTTGGAACAAGGACTACAATGGGTGGAACCTCTGCAGAGGGCTGCATCCAACCACACTAGCGTCTTTGTTGTTGGAGCCTTCCAAGAGAAAGACGATTCAGGAGCCTATGAGGATGGGTTAACTGAGTATGAGGCAATCAAACTTATAGCAGGAGGGAATTCAATATGGGTCGAGGAAGAGAACACAACCCCCGCTTCATGAGTGGAACGTACTTTGGCCGAGAAATTTGGGGAGGAGACTGCACATAAAAAGCAAAAGATATTGATCTTTAAAGTATGTATTTGGTTAAGTTTATCGCGTGGAGAGATATTTTATTGTTAATGAGCTAACAAAGGAAGAAAAATTGAAGGCGGCGACCCTATATTTAGAAAGGAAGGCTCTGTCGTTTTGTCAATGGAGAGAATGACAGTCGATAATTAGAACATGGGAAGAATTCAAAGATCGGTTGTTGGAATGTTTTAGAATCACGTGGGAAGAAGTCAAAGATTGGTTGTTTGAACATTTTAGAACCACGTGGGAAGAAGAATTACACGAGCAATTTTTTTGCATTGGTCCGGGAAGGGTCCGTCGTGGATTATAACAAAAATTTAAAGTGCTACCAGACAGTTTTTTGGAAGACCACATTAGCCAATTAAAAAAAGGCGTTGAGGGTACTCGGGGTATTAATGAATCCATCGAAGGTGGTTGCTATGTTGGATTGGTCACTACCTAAAACATTGAAGAGGTTGAGAGGATTTTTAGGGCTTACAGGATACTACCGAAAGTTCATGAAGGGTTACAGTTCGATTACATGACCATTGACGGAGCAACTGAAGAAAGATAACTTTTACTAGGGGGAAGTGGAGACACAGGCTTTTGAGATATTAAAGAAGACCACGACGAGTGTACCAGTGTCGACGGTACCTGATTTCAATCAACCATTCATTATAGAGATGGATGCCTTAAGCTGTGGGTTAGGCACAATCCTCATGAAGTGTGAACGACTCATCTCTTATTTCAGTCAAATGTTGTTGGAGAGTCAGACTCAAGTCAATTTATGAGTTGGAGTCATACGGCTTGATTCAATAGAAGTTTTCCCTCTTCCATTTTGAGGATAAGGTGTTTTTGGGAGGAGAATAATGTTAAATCGACAACTACGGCTCCGTCCGTTTCGTGCTCCACTAAGTCAATGTTGAGCCCGCCAAACTAGTTTAAAAATTTATATTAGACGTAAGACAAAAAGAGCAATTTTAGTCATTTGTTAATTATTATTGTGTTGTATAAATAGGGTTTAATATGTTTAGGGTTAGCATATGTGATGTGTGTGTTTGTTCCCTTGAATCTAGAGACAGGGTTTGGGAGAGATTGTCTACCTCTCAAATTGTATGTGTTTATCTTTTATGTATTTGAGTTGTGATATTTTGTATGGGTGAAATAAAATATTGTGGTTGTCCTAATCTCCGTGGAAGTTATCTTGTTCCTATCAGTTTATTAGTAGATCCTCCTCTATTTGAAAAGGTAAAACTATTGCGGCCTTTGCCCCTGGTTGCTGCTAGAGCCTTATGAGATAGAGGTTGTTTAGAAAGTCAGAGTATCTTCATGGCTTTTACAACTAGATTGGTTTCTTCACTGCAAAGATGGGAGTAGAGTTCATCCAAGTTGATTGGCTAAAGATTAGTTTGAATTGCAATTTAGAATAATTGGTAGTTGCCTAATTGGTTGGTAGTCTATTAAGAGTATATAGAATGATTTCCGCAAGGGATGAGGGAGCACCGGCAAAGGCTATTGCATCTATATTGCTCTCAATATCAGACAGATACTATACGATAGTTCTACCGAGCATATGGATATTGTGAAGTTCATTCTCAATTGAATCAATTTGAATTTGTTTGTGAATTGTAATTTGTGACTAAAGGTAATCCATATTTCAGAACAAGTGTCAAGAAAAGAACATAGGAAAGTAGAGATGGGTAGATAGTTGCATAGAGTGCGCCAATTAGTTTTTGGTCAATTAGAATCCATAGCTGATAATCACGGTTGGGTGTGAAAGATCCTTCATTGGCAATCAAATGCTTGACTAATGAAGAAACACTTTCAGTAAGATAGCCTTCAACCCCATTGCCTTTGAAAAGTTTGAGAACCTGATCACCTAGCAAGATAGTTTTCGGCTATGAGTTGAGTGGTGAGGGTATGTTTGAGGTTGTTCATAAGGAATTTGAGCTGAAGAAGAATAGGTGTACTGTTGATCTGAAGGGCATAGTTTATAAATGGCTGAGGACTGTACAGAATCCATTTGAGAAGAAGGAATAGGAATTCCTCAGCTGTGCCGACATGAGCTGCTCTGATACCATGAAAACAAAACTGTAGAAACACTAAGATTAAAAATAAAAGTATATTATTCGCAACTGTGATTGTAGCAGTAGAAGGTATTATAGGTACACTTGGCATCTTTTCTCTTACAGGAAATCCAAGGAGGTTATCGATGAGTGGCATACATATATTGGAGTGTGCCGGTCGATGCAGAGGTATGTTGATGAAAAGTTGACGGTCGATTTAGTATCAAATCAAGGGAAAAGCTCAGAATCATTACTAGGGATAGATCAAACAAAACAAAAAGCAGCATTCTCCAAAATGAAATAGATACCCCATTGCAGAAAGGAACTTCAAATCTGATAACCCCGATAGGAACCGAGTTCGAATAGTAAAAAAAAATTGAAAAAAACAACATCAATACAATAATCAATGACTGATACTAAACAAACGACAAATATAATTAATTAAATGCGATAGAAGTCGAAAAATACATAGACAAGTTACCGTAGAAGACCTTGGCGATCGGACGGAAACCACGTTTTCCGGAGAGATCTCCGCCTGCCAGCGGATGCAAACCCTGTCTGGATCCCAACAAAGCCCATTATTTTTTGCCTCTCTCTATGACCGGCGCCTCCATTGAGGACGAAATGATCGGACAAGGTTCCACTACCGCGCTCCCAAGCTACAGACATGGATATGGGATCTGCAGCGAAGCACTTGGGACCAGAGATGAACTCTCTTAAAAGAACGATGGATCCAAAGAGGATGCCAGCGAGACCCATGATCAGGAAGCAAAGACAGAAATTGGAGGAAGAGGAGGAGACGCGGCGGAGGCGGGAGGTCCAGGAGGGTAAGGTGCTGTGAGAGTAGAAAAACTTCGGTGATTTAGCCATGGCGTGCTCTAGTTCATAACAGTTCGATAAGGTAGACAGTCGTCGGAGTTGGCCTGCTAGCTTCTTGGAATCTTGGGTCTACGGCCTTCCTCCTAACGATGCTTCGCTTTTGTTTCTTTGTTTTTTTTCTTTTCGCATCCTCAACTCTATTAAAAAAATACAAAACTGATTTAATATAAGAGAAATAGAATGGTTGGTCGAGCACCGGTACACTCGTTATTTTCTTTTTTAATGAGTGCATATTCTGTCGGGACTCCTAACATAGAGAATCATTCGGAGTCCAATGAAATCAAACCACGTAGCGGTGACAGAAAAAAAAATAAAAATGTGTTATTCCGTATTATTCAGGTGTTAGTGTTCTGAGAATATCTGGTATTCTGGTATTATAATAACAAATACATCAATAATACTTGAATAACACACAATAATACTTGAATAACACGGGAGGAATATTCTTTCTTGTTACCGGGTAGATTTTATTTTATTTTTCTATCAACGCCACGTGGCGTGATCTCATTAGACTTCGAATGGTTCTCTAGGTAATGAGTCCTGACAGAATAATTTTTCCTTCTTTAACTTCTCAAAAGCCCGTCTCCCTACTTCCCCCTACTCAAAGTTATCTTTCTTCAATTATTTCATCAAAGGCCATACAATCAAATTGTAAACGTTCATGAACTTCTGGTAGTACTTGTAAGCCCACACAAGTAATACTGAAACTCCTTCCATGAAATAAGGTTATATCAAAACAAATCAAATAATAAAATCCAATCAAAACCACAAGAATAAAGATAGGCCAAGATGAAACTCTTATAATAGTTGATTTCCAATACAGAGCTAGAAAACATCACAAATCAATTCAAACCCAAGAAAACCATTTGATCCTAAAGGTTGGATCAAATATACCTAAATGAATCATAAGATTGTAAAAACTAATGCAAACAAGTTTAATATCTGAAAGAAAGATGACTACATACATAAATTAAAAGTTCAACAACTAATCAATGAAAACAATGGTTGGAAATAATATGAGGCACCTCATTCTTATATTTCCTTTTTATGCTTTTAATTCTAAACAACAAAATTGAATTTTTCTAACCAAAAGATCAGCAAGAATACTAGAATTATTAAAAAAAATTATTATTTCTTTCAACCCATATGGTATGAGTGGTAGTTGAACATTGGAAACCTTCATTTGGAATACATTTCTTCAAAATATTAAGAGAATAATGGTACTGAAAAAAAGATGAGTATGAGTTTTATTAGAAGAACAACATAAAACACGTATCGGGTTAACATGCATATCAAAATATGTTTAGACTGTAACCCTCTAGAAAGAATTTTCCAAGCCATAATAGTATAAATCAAACAATTTTGTGCTAATATGTCTTAGAATTATTCTCATAGGATATAGAATAAATCAAGAAATTAGAACAATTAGTGTTTCTTTTCCAAAAGTAATTAGTATTACCATCCTCAATGAAAATTTTGATGTTATGAATTAAATTGATGGAAAAATCAAGATTATTGTTATTAATAGGATAATTCTGCTGGTCATTGACAATCAGATTAGAAATCTTAGTAAAAGAAGGACAAGAGAACCAAGTTATGACTTTTTGCCCATTGTGATCCTCCAAAGAAGAACTATCAAGCCAAGAATTAAAGAAAATTTGATGTTATTAATATTAAAAACTAGGTTATTTCTTTTTCTTGAAGCAATTTGAGTCATATTTTCCAAAAAAAAATATTATTTATGTTTTTGCAACAAATAATAACGATGTTCAATAAGTCAAGCCACGAGATAAGAATTAGAATTAAAATATCTTCAAATATTTTTAGCTTTGCACATAAGATAAAACGCTTATCTTATTTGGTTTTGGATATATATCAAATAAAGTAAGAATCATTATTTGATGATTTGTTTGCCCAATTGTACTTTAATGGATGGAAGAACTAACACTAAAATCCAAAAAAAATGTTAAAAATTGATCACTTAAATTAAAATCATGCATATTAAGCCTTCATTCCTTTATCCTTTTGGATATGAGACAATCTCAATCCATATAGTAAAACCGTGGGGTCAAAATATTTTTAATAAATATTACTAGTGAGGTGTTGAAGATAATCTTTAAGTAATTTGATTAACATGTTTGGATTTGTACCCTAACTCACAAACTTGAAGTCATAAAACCACTAATTTGTGCACTTTTTGTTATGATGTAAAATCCTTAGTTCTTGGCCCACTCATTAAGCATTTATGATAGGATTATAAGTCCTAATTATAACAATGAGAAAATCCAACAAATAAATCTCAATCTAAAGTATATAAGAAAATCTCAATCTAAAGTATATAAGAAAATCTCAATATGAAAAATGTATGTTAATTTGACATGCCACTACACTTCTTATTACATACCACTTCTTACTTTTTCTTCTTTTAGAATTCAAAAAGAACCATTTTAAATGTGAACCAATCCTAATTGACTTCCAAATTAAAAATCACTGATTTTGAATTTTGAAATCTTCAGGAACACCAGTCAACATTCTAATTGAAATATTTTCCAATAGATTACCTCTCACAGACTGTATATAATTATAATGTCTATCTTTAACTTTAATGTTATTTTATCCTCATTTATTTTCAAATATGATGTCTCATTATTAGTCTCATCCTAATATTTGAGTATGCCTATCTTTAACTTCTTCAAATCATCATGTTTTATTTTATTTTATTTTATTTTTTGAGGTCATTCTATATTAATGAGCTATTAGAGAACCATGCAATTGGTCAATTATATCATAGCTTAAATCTTTGGCAAACTAAATATTGTTACTTATGGATCCCACAAATTTGATAAAGAGCACAATATCCTACTTACCTATTCATGGCTTGTTTATTTATTTCCAAGAGCTCATAACACTTTGATAATCTTATTTAATTATCTAAATATTTTAGTGCCTTTCTGACTCTCATTTCAAATAATTTATGTTACCACAAAAAATCAATACATGTTTCTCAATCTTTATTAGTCGACTTATCTAAAAAAAATCTTAAATTACATGTTTCCATTTATAAATCATATTTGAATGCAAATTACAATTCTTGCCCTTTTTCATTAAGATTAATTATGCGTTTGGAAAACAATTGATTTGCAGCTGTTTCTGAATAAATGACCATTCTGCCTCTGTACAATATTTCTATTAATGTTGTATAAATGATCATTCTAGATAATCACATAATTTATACAAGTACGAAAATAAATACTCTCCGATTATGTTAAAATTAAAGTCTGAGTTCTCTATGAGACTATTTTCATCACAATTTAAAGAATTTGTTCACTATTTTAACACTTCTATAAATTATTGAACAAGAACAGTGACATATAAATTACTTATAAGGAATAAATTTTGAAGGTATATTATGATTGTCGTAGTTTAAAATTTAAAAACTATTTCATATTATATTTAATTTCCAAACTATTTTATTATTTTACGTACATTCCACCCAATTTTAAGTTATTTGCATATTTAAAATCTAAATTTTACATTTTACATTTATAAGATCTAAATATTTTATATTATATTAAAAATATCACTTTTTAATTTGTTTAAAAAGTCATAATAAATATTTTTAAGATGACACTTATAAAAGTAGAAGTTTAGGTGGTATAAATGTAAATAAATAGGTTTTTGGTGGCAGGTATGTAAATCTTCCCTTTTCTTTTTTTTTTTTAATTTATTTTTTTATTTTCCTTGTCCACCGTTTTCCTCTCCCTCCTCGTTCTGCAGAAAGGAAAGGAAAACGGGGAAGCGGAGAGAGGGGCCTCTGCGTTATGAAGAAGCGGAGAGGACCTATCTTCTCCATATCTTCGAGTGAGAGAGGAGACAATGACGAATCAGATTGAAGATGGGCGGCGGAAGAAGATCAACAACAAGAACTTCAATTCCTGAGAGATGTGCGAGAGGAAGCGAAGCGTCAAAATATTTACTGAAATGCAGAATGTGCCATTCGACCTGCGGCCCGCGTTTAACATAAAATCTAAACGATTTTTTTACAGCGGCTGCCCGAACGCTGAATCCAAACAGTAAGACAGCGTTTTCAAAACATCACGGTATGTGATAAGCTGTCCCAAAAGCAACCTAAATCTAGTTATTCATGGGTCAAATTCTTTTTTTTTTTTTTTGCTGTTTTATGAACTTCTTTCCCTTCAATAGAGATTATTATGAATTTCATATTCTCATAAAATAAAAATATAAGTTCTCATGTTACAAGATTGAAATAAATAATCATCCCATTTTTCCAAAAATTAAAATGGATACCATCAAATAATGATGGCCATGTTATAGAGTGAGATTCATTCCATATTTTCATATAACAAATAAATAATATTATAAAATTCTAATAAATTAAAATCAAAACTTTAAATCATATGGACCACTCTATAGATATAATGTCAATAACTATAAAACTAAGACATTGATATGAATTCTAATTCTATCAATTGTTAATTGACTTTCCATGCTTCCTTATTCATTGGATTCATGAAGTTTAGAAGTTTGTACTTTTACATATAAAAGACACATACTCTAATATACTATATTTGTTTGATACAAAACATGCTATATCTCATCACTTAATTCAAAGAAAGTAAAACCATCGGTTCAATGATTTATTAGGGCACTTTGTAATAATCAAAATTATGTCAACAATTCATGAAACAAACAAAGTCTTATGATGTCGGAGAGTACAAAGTAGGAAAAAAATTTTAACAAGAAAAATAATATAAAATAAAAATCTTATACTTATATATATATATATATAT